CGCTCGTCCTTCTCGATCTGCTCCGAGAAGAAGGTGTCGAAGATGAGGTACACCAGCTTGGTGGTGGTGGCCTTGGTGGGACCCTTGTCCTTGTCGATGCGCGTGGGGTGGCGGATGGCCTGGCGCCGCACGGCGCGCCTGCGGCACGGGGACAGCGCTCAGGCCACGCCGGGGACGGGGCCACCACCCCGGGGACACCCAAGGGACCCCCACAAGTGCCACGTGAGGTCCCCAAGGGGTGTGGATGGATTTTGGGGACGGCGTCCTTCTCCCTCTGGAGCAGCACCGGGTTTGGGTTTGCCCAGTTTTGGGAAGATCTTCCCAATTTTGGGAGAGTTTTTGTGGTCTTGGGAGTATCTTCCCAATTTTGGGAGAATTCTCCCAGTTTTGGGAGGGTTTTTGTGGTCTTGGGAGGATATTCCCAATTTTGGGAGAATTCCTCCAGTTTTGGGAGGATTTTCCCAATTTTGGGAGGGTTTTTGTGGTCTTGGGAAGATCTTCAGAATTTTAGGAAAATTCTCCCAGTTTTGGGAGGGTTTTCCCAGTTTTGGGAGGGTTTTTGTGGTCTTGGGAGGATCTTCCCAATTTTGGGAGAATTCTCCTGGTTTTGGGAGGGTTTTCCCAATTTTGGGAGGGTTTCTGCTCTATTCCTGGCACTTCTCATGCCACTGAACCCAAATCTTCACCAGTTTTGGGAAGATTTTCCCAATTTTCATTGGATTCTCTCAATTTTGTGGTTGCAGAACCCAAACCCTCCCCAATTTTGGGCAAATTCTCTTACTTTTGAGGTCCCACTTCCCAAACTTTGGTCAAATTTCCCCGATTTTGGGGTGTTTACCCCCAAACCTCACCTCTTGCCCAGCGTCACCAGCTTGATGAGGTCCCTCATGCCTGGCATGAGAATCCCCAATTTTGGGCCAATTTCCCCAGTATAGATACCCCAGAGCCCAAACCCTGCCAGATTTTGGTCGGATTTTCCCGTTTTTGGCGTTTTTACCCCCAGACCTCACCTCTTGCCCAGGGTGACGCCGGCCAGCTTGATGAGGTCCCTCATGCAGGGCGTGATGAGCACCGGCGGCTCGTCGCTGTCGCCGGCCTCGTCGTAGCTCTCCACCTGCTCCACCACGAACTGCGCGTGCCGCAGCAGCGAGTCCTCCGTGAAACGGTTGAAGTTGAGCCCCGCCGGCGGCACCGTGGTCTGGGGGCGGTTGGGAAGGGTTGGAGATGGTTGGGGATGTTTGGGAAGGGTTGGAGGTGGTTGGGAAGGGTTGGGGATGGTTGGGAAGGGTTGGAGATGGTTGGGGATGGTTGGGAAGAGTTGGGAAGAGTTGGGAAGGGTTGGGAAGGGTTGAGATGGTTGGAAATGGTTGGGGATGGTCACTGACCCCTCTCCAGATCACCCATTCCAGGGACACCAAGGTTTGGAATGGTTGGGGATGGTTTGGGATGGTTGGGAAGGGTTGGAGATGGTTGGGGATGGTTGGGGATGGTTGGGAAGGGTTGGGGATGGTTGGGAAGGGTTGGAGATGGTTGGGGATGCATGGGAAGGGTTGGGGATGGTTGGGAAGGGTTGGAGATGGTTGGGGAGGGTTGAGGATGGTTGGGAAGGGTTGGAGATGGTTGGGGAGGGTTGAGGATGGTTGGGAAGGGTTGGGAAGGGTTGGGGATGGTTGGGAAGGGTTGGGAAGGGTTGGGGATGGTTGGGAAGGGTTGGGAAGGGTTGGGGATGGTTGGGGAGGGTTGAGGATGGTTGGGAAGGGTTGGGAAGGGTTGGGGATGGTTGGGGATGCATGGGAAGGGTTGGGGATGGTTGGGAAGGGTTGAGAAGGTTGGAGATGGTTGGGAAGGGTTGGGAAGGGTTGGGGATGGTTGGGAAGGGTTTGGAATGGTTGGGGATGGTTTGGGATGGTTGGGAAGGGTTGGAGATGGTTGGGGATGGTTGGGGATGGTTGGGGATGGTTGGGGATGGTTGGGAAGGGTTGGGGATGGTTTGGGATGGTTGGGAGGTGACACCACAGGGAGGTGACACAGTGGAGAGGTGACACCGCGGGGAGGTGACACCGCGGGGAGGTGACACTGGCGCTGTCACCTCGATCTTGTTGAGCAGGTCCTCGTAGCTGACGTGGCGGTTGTTCTGCAGGAACTCCACCACGATCTTGCTCATGTAGATCTTCTCCTGCATCAGCGCGAAGGTGGGCGCGTACTCCTCGCTCGGCTCCATCAGGATGTAGTCGGCAAAGGCTGGGAACGGCCCCAGAACGGTGGGATTTTGGGGAAAAAAGGGGGAGGGTGGGGAAAAGGGGGAGGGGAAAGGAAAGGGGAGGGAAGAGGGGGGAAAAATTAAGGGAAGGAAAAGGGGAAAGGGGAGGGAAAAAGAGGAAGAAAGAAAATAGAGGGAAAGAGCAAGAAGTAGGAGGAAAATGAATGAAAGAGAAGAAAGAAAAAGGAAAAAAGAAAATAAAGAGGGGAACAGCAGGATAAATGAGAAAAGAGAAAGAAAAGAAAGAGAAAGGAAAAGAGAAAAAAGAAAATAAAGGGGAAAAGAGCAGGACAAAAGAGGAAAGAGAAGGAAAGAGCAAGAAGGAAAAAGATGAAAAGAGAAGAAAAATCAGAGAAATTATGGAAAAAAGACAGAGAAAAAAGAGAAAATAAGAAGAAAAAACAAAAAAAGACCAGAAAAATAAAGGAAAAAGAAGAAGGAAAAAGATAAAAAAACAGAAAAACAAAGGAGGAAAGGGGTAGAAAAGGAAAAAAAAGGAGAAGGGAGAAAAAGGAGGGAAAGCGCAAAAACCCTGAAACCTCCCGCCAAAAAAAACCTCGGTAAAAGCCCAAATTAACCCAAAACCAACCCCAAATTCCCCAAAACTCCCCTCAGAGCTCCTCCTCACCCGTGCTGAAGCCGATCAGCGCCTTCTCGCCGCCGTCGAAGCCCGTGATCCACCAGGCGTTGATGGGCCCCAACTTCTTGGCTCTCACCCCACCTGCCAAGCCAACAAAAAAAACCAACCAAATCCGGACAATTCCCAGGTGGGAATCCCGAAATCCCCCGGAATTCCGGGCGTTTCCTCACCGTCCAGGCAGGGGTTGTCGTCGTAGATGGGTTTGACGACGCCGCTGAAGTAGAGCTCGATGTTCCTCTCGATGAGGCCGGTGTCGAAGGGACAGAGATGTCCCCTCTTGTCATAAACGCTGCCAAGGGTGTGGGCCATGATTCCAGAGGGAATTCCAGAGGGAATTCCAGAGGGAATTTCCCCGGGGTCTCACCTGAAGGAGGTGACTTTGTGCTGGGGGAGGTCCTCGTAGCTCTCGAAGCCGTCCTCGTTGGCGTCGAAGATGGACAAGCGCTCGTCCGTCAGCATCTCCGGCTCCTCCAGCTGGATTTGGGGAAAAAAAACCCAAAATGGGATTAACGGACATTCCTGCTTTTCCCGAGCTCGGGGAAGGAGGGTTTGGATCCCTTACGGCGTCGTCGGGGTCCCCTTGGAAGAATTTGAGGTCGGGGTCATCCAGGTACTGCCGGCAGTCGAGGCATTTTGGGGGGGTTGTCTGTGGGAGAGGGGAGGGAGAGTCAGCTTTTCCCAAAGTTATTCCTGGAATTATCCCGGATTTTGGCAAAATTCAGGGTTTGCCATCAGAACCAGCCCCGGCTGTTCGGTTTTGAGAAGCTGAACTGGCTGGAAATGGGCTTTTATTCCCATAGGATAATCCGGCCTTTGGAATGATCAACTCGTCCCAAAAAACGCTAAAATTCAGGAGTTTTAAGGGATTAAGAAATCCCAAAAAAAGCTGGAATGAGGAGGGACTTACTTTAGCAGGAGCAGTGATTTTAAACTGAGGGATTTCATCTTTGATTTCCGACCTGGGAGGGAAAAATGAAATCCTGGGATGAGGAAGGAGCAGCGACGTCATCGTTGTCATTGTCACCGTCACCGGGACACGGCCCCGGCCAGGGATGTCCCCAGGGATGTCCCCCCTTTTCCTCACCCATCTTTGGTTTCCATTTTCATCCTTTTCTCATCTTGATCCTGGAGAAAAAGGCAAAAAAAATGGGAAAAGGAGCAGGAAAATGCAATCCCAGCAAGGCCAAAATCCCAGATCCCCCCCAGATGTCACAACACAGCAAAATCCTGGGAAATCACCCCAAAAATGACCCAGGATAGGTCTGGGATGTCACAACACAGCAAAATCCTAGGAAATCACCCCAAAACTGACCCATGACAGGTCTGGGATGTCACCACTGACCAAAATCCTGGGAAATCACCCCAAAACCGACCCATGACGGGTCTGGGATGTCACCACCGACCTTCTCCTCCAGCTCCTCCTCCTCCTTCTCCACGTTCATCAGCTCCGGCTTCACCTCCCCGTTGACCTCCTCGGATTTCCGCTTGTTGGACCTGCGGGATGGATCCGGGATGGGATTTTTGGGGGAACAGGAAGGGTTTGGGATGGTGGGGGGATGAGGAAGAGGAGGGTGACCCTTCCCACTGACCCTTTGGACAGGAAGCTGAGGATGGACGGCTGCCGGCCGGAGCTGCGGGTGACGCGGGAGCTGGCCGGAGACTCTGCGGGAAAACCATGACGGATCCCAAATCCCAATGGGAATTGTCACAGCCCAAGGCCAGGAGACCCCAAAACCCCTCCTGAGGAGACCCCAAAACCCTTCCCAAGGGGATCCCAGCCCTCAATGGGAATTGTCACATTCCACGGTGAGGAGATCCCAAAACCCTTCCCAAGGGGATCCCAATGGGAATCATTGCATTCCAAAGTCAGGAGACCCTAAAATCTTTCCTGAGGAGACCCCAAAACCCCTCCCAAGGGGATCCCAGTTCTTGACCCCAATGGGAATTGTCACACCCCAAAACCAGGAGACCCCAAAACCCTTCCTGAGGAGACCCTAAAACCCCTCCGAAGGTGATCCCAGCCCTCAATCCCAAGAGGAATTGTCACATTCCATGGTGAGGAGACTCCAAAACTCTTCCCAAGGGGATCCCAGCTCTTGATCCCAATGGGAATTGTCACACCCCAGGGCCAGGAGACCCCAAAACCCTTCCAGAGGAGACCCCAAAGCCCTTCCCAAGGGGATCCCAGCCCTCAACCTCAATGGGAATTGTCCCATTTCATGGTGAGGAGACCCCAAAACTCTTCCCAAGGGGATCCCAATGGGAATCATTGCACTCCAAAGTCAGGAGACCCTAAAATCCTTCCTGAGGAGACCCCAAAACCCCTCCCAAGGGAACCCCAGTTCTTGATCCCCGTGGGAAATGCCACACCCCAAAACCAGGAGACCAAAAACCCTTCCTGAGGGATCCCCCCTCTCCATCCCAATGGCCCCTCCCCACCCGCCAGAGCCCCCATTTCCACCCCAAAAACCCCCCAGAAACCCCAAATCCTTACTTTTGGCGTCGCCGTTGGAGCGGCTCCTGCGGGATTTCCGCGCCCGGGGGCCGGAGCAGGACGGGGACGAGGACGCTGCCAGCCCCTCCTCGAGCTCCATGGCGCCGTCCTCGTCCTCGTCGCTGCCGGAGGCGCCGTGCCCGGGGCACCCGTTGGGGTTGGGGCCCCCGGAGCCATTGGGGGCCGAGAGCTCCTGGCGCAGCAGCGCCTTCACCTTGGCCAGGTAGCGCTCCTGGGAGGGGAGCACCTGGGCTGAGCCTGAACCCCGGGATGGGATCCCAAATCCCACAGGGAAACGGGGGCTGAGCCTGAACCCTGGGCTGGGATCTCAAATCCCACGGGGAAATGGGGACTGAGCCCAAATCCCGGGCTGGGATCCCAAATCCCACAGGGAAATGGGGGCTGAGCCCAAATCCCACAGAGAAACGGGGGCTGAGCCCAAACCCCAGGCTGGGATCCCAAATCCCACGGGGAAATGGGGGCTGGGATCCCAAATCCCACAGGAAACGGGGGCTGAGCCTGAACCCTGGGCTGGGATCCCAAATCCCACGGGGAAATGGGGGCTGAGCCTGAACCCCGGACTGGGATCCCAAATCCCACGGGGAAATGGGGGCTGAGCCCGAACCCTGGGCTGGGATCCCAAATCCCACAGGGAAATGGAGGCTGAGCCCAAATCCTGGGCTGGGATCCCAAATCCCACGGGGAAATGGGGGCTTGAGATCAAATCCTGGGCTGGGATCCCAAATCCCACAGGGAAACGGGGGCTGAGCCTGAACCCCGGGCTGGGATCCCAAATCCCACAGGGAAACGGGGGCTGAGCCTGAACCCCGGGCTGGGATCCCAAATCCCACGGGGAAACGGGGGCTGAGCCTGAACCCCGGGCTGGGATCCCAAATCCCACGGGGAAACGGGGGCTGAGCCTGAACCCTGGGCTGGGATCCCAAATCCCACGGGGAAATGGGGGCTGGGATCCCAAATCCCACAGGAAACGGGGGCTGAGCCTGAACCCTGGGCTGGGATCCCAAATCCCACGGGGAAATGGGGGCTGAGCCCGAACCCTGGGCTGGGATCCCAAATCCCACGGGGAAATGGAGGCTGAGCCCAAATCCCGGGCTGGGATCCCAAATCCCACGGGGAAATGGGGGCTGAGCCCGAAACCCCGGGCTGGGATCCCAAATCCCACAGGAAACGGGGGCTGAGCCCAAACCCCAGGCTGGGATCCCAAATCCCACGGGGAAATGGGGGCTGAGCCCAAATCTCACAGGGAAAGGGGGCTGAGCCCAAATCCTGGGGCATGATCCCAAATCCCACAGGGAAACGGGAGCTGAGCCCAAATCCTGGGGTGTGATCCCAAATCCCACAAGAAAGTGGGGGCTGAGCCAGAATCCCAGGATCTTCCCAGTTTCCTGGGGCTTTATCCCAAATTCTGCTCTTTTATCCCTAATCTCGCTGTTTTATCTGAAATCCCAGAGTTTTCCCAAGATTTTCCAGGTTTTATCCCCAATCCAGGTGTTTTATCCCCAATCCTGGTGTTTTCCCAGAGTTTCCTGGGTGTTTTATCCCAAATCCTGGTGTTTTCCTGAAGTCTCCTGTGTGTTTTCCCCCAAATCCTGGTGTTTTCCCGGGGTTTTCCGGGTGTTTTACCCCAATCCCCGGGTTTTCCCAGGATTTTCCGGGTGTTTTCTGCTGGATCCCAGGTTTTGGGGTCTCACCTCGGAGAGCTCCTCGCGGCGCAGTTTGGCCTCGAGCTCGCTGAGCTGCAGCTGCACCTCGGCCTGCAGGAAGCCGTGGATGAGGCTCAGCTTCTCCTGGACGCTC